GAATCAGCCATATCAAAATGGGAATTAAAATTAGAATAGACAATGAAATAGGACTCAGGACCAAATATGAACTTCCTGAAACAATGTGCTGCTCATTCCCTCCTAAAGAGAGGCACAGCCACTCTGTACTAAATTGCTGAGTTCTGAGGAAACTATAAGACAAACTAACTTGTTTTTTTCCTAAGATCCTAGTTTCCTATAGACCTGATAGGTTGAAGAACTGGGTTAGAAGCCTGAGTTCCAACTGATCATTTTAAATCCACAAAGCCACTTGTGATAAGTGGCCAATAAAAATTTGAGCAGTTCCTCTGATCTGCTTATCTATAAGTAGCTCTAGATTGATAAGCCACATGGCCACATAATCAGCACCTCTCTTGGAAGTCAAAGAGCTTTTGTTATTACTTTCAATAAGATTGTCCTAAATACCTCTTTAGGTTTATTACTTCATTTCTTGGTGTTTGTTTTAGTACATACCGTAACACTGCTATGGATGCACGTTACTTAATCACTGAAGGGTCAATTTGACATAATCTACTACATTAGACTATTCATACATCCTTCTCTATTTATCTATGGAACCATGGCACTATTCCTGGCAGCAAAAGTGAAACACTTAACTATCCTCCATTATATGAGTAGATACATAAACTGCTGCAAATTTATATAAAAACACTATTGCATTTGGTATGACTGAGTGAAATGTACCTATGGTATCATAGATACATCTCTAAAGTAAAAACCTTAAGGAAAGAAACAATTTCAAAACTATTATATAACATAAGACACTTATGTTCATGTAGGAAGCTCATACAATTACTATCGTTACAGACAGCTAAATTAGTTAGAAATATTATAGACATCAGTCATGGCTGGACTCTTGAAGGAGTCAAGACAAAAGGTGAAACACACTACAGCTGTGACATTAGATGCATCAGTTGGGGGCCAGGCTTCAAGATAACAACAAAAGGACCTATGTATTCTCCAAGGAATAGATTAGTGATAACACCTGGACTAGATAGGCATCAGCCACTCCAATGGGCAACTAAGGCTCCAGACCCATCATCTACCTGAGAAGCACTTTGATCTTGCCATGCCTGCTCCATACACGACCTGCTTCCCATCAGGACAACATTATATAAACAACTATATTCACTCTTATTGGTTGATCATAGTTGTAACCCATGTGGTTGCTATAAAATTTCCCTATACAGTGTGGTCCCCAGCTACTCATGTGGGACCCCTTCTGTTCCTCTGGCAAGAGCCTTCTCTTCTCTCAATAATCTCCCTACTGTTGACTTCCATTGTTCCCAGAATAAATTCTTCATTTCTCAGAGATCCTGGAATCAACATAGCAGACATCTAACAAGTTGAGAGTTAAAATATTTCTCTGAGATCATACTTTCAGTTTCTGGTATCATCCCTATAACACTCTAAGCATGGATCCTTAAGTTCTCACTTTACTTTTAATTTTGTTATACCTTTTTATTTTTATTTCTTATTTTGAGTTCTTACAATAAGGAGACTATACGATATTTGCACTTGTGGGTTTGGTTTATTTCACTTATGAGTATATTTTCAAGTGGCGTTCATTTGAATATAAAAGCTTTGAGTTTATCATTCTTTATAGTTGAGTAATACTCCATTGTATAAAAATACCACACCTTTTTCATCCATTCCTCAGGTGATGGACATCTTGGTTGTTTCTAAGATTTGGATATAACAAATTGTGCTGCTATAAACATAGGTAAACATATATCACTATGATATGACACTTTCAGTTACTCTGGGAAAATTCCCAGTAGGGGGGATAGCTGGTTTGAATGGGATTTCCAGTCCTAGTTTTTTAAGTAGTCTTCACACTGATTTTCATAATGTTTACATCAGTCTACATTTCCACCAGCAGTGGAGAAGGGTTCATTTTTCTCCACATCCTCTCCAACATTTGTTGTTGGTTGATTTCTTTATGATAGCCATTCTTTCTAGGGTGAGATGGTATCTCAGTGTTGTTTTCATTTGCATTTCATGAATGGCCAGTGATGTGAGCATCTTTTCAGGTAATGATTTGCCTTTTGTTTTTCGTCCTCTGAGAAGTGTGTGTTCATCTCGGATGCCCATTTTTGTATTGGGTCTTTAAATTTGAGGATACCATCTCACCACAGAAAGAGTGACTATCATAAAGAAATCAACAAGCAACTAATGTTGGAGAGGCAGCTCCTGGGAATGTAGACTGGTGCAACCATTATGGAAATCAATGTGGAGACTCCTCAAAAATAACTAGGACTGGAAATCCTATTCAATCCAGCTATCCCCCTTCTGGTAATTTTCCCAAAAGAACTAAAAACATCATATCATAGTGATATATGTGCACCTATGTTTATAGCAGCACAATTTGTGATAGCCAAATCTTGGAAAAAACCAAGATGCCCATCACCTGAGGAATGGATGGAAAAGGTATTGTGTTTTATACAATGGAGTATTACTCAGCTATAAAGAAAAATAAGCATGAAGCCTTCATATATAAGTAGATGCAACTTGAAGATATGCTCATAAGTGAAATAAACCAGACCCATATGTGTAAATATCATATTGTCTCCCTATAGTCAGAACTCAAAATAAGAAATAAAAATTGAAAGCATAACACAATTAAATGGAAAGTGAAAACTTAATAATTAAACAACAGAGAGAAAGGAGACAATTTAGGAAATTTGGCAGGGGCAAAACCATACGTTTATATAAACAAGATGGTTAAGGCAATGGTCCTAAGAAACTCCCTCAGGTTTTTGAAAATAGCAGTTAATGGATACAGTTTTCACCCCACTAACTCTATACACTGATATCTATGAACTAAGCAACTGCACTGAGGATAGAAATGTGTCATACAAAAACCATGCTTGAAATACCTGTCATTTCGGTCTTCTAAGTGCATACTACTTCTAATGTCATATCAATTATTGCTATACTCTCTTTAAAGTAAATATTGGCTTAAAAAAGATAATAAAAGAAAATGAGTCGAGAAAAAACATGTAATTTTAAAATAACCATTCAATGACCTATAATGTGAACAGTATCACATACATCATCCCATTCTTTAGTGTAGCGTTAAAAACAAGGTTTTTTTTTATTTCTTGGAAGTACTCTATTAGACAAGTAGACTGACTCTCTCTTTCTCTCTTCTTCTCTCTTCTCCTCTCCTCTCTCTGTCTCTCTTTGTCTGTCTCTCTCCCTGACTTTGTCTCTTTCTGTCTGTCTCTCTGTGTCTCTCTACTCTCTCCTCTCTCTCTTCACTATGTCTCTGTGTCTGTCTCTATATCTCTCACTGTCTCTGTTTGTCTGTCTGTCTCTCTTTCTCTCCCTCTCTCTCACTCTCTCTTTCTGTTTCTCTCTGTCTCTCTCCGCTCCATCACTGTCATAGTACACATTTGCCCAATTGACTCATTGGAGAGACTGACCAAAGTTCTGGGCACACCTGTGTCAATAATGTGTAATGCCATTTTCATTGATAGTGTCCCCTTGCAATCAAATCTAATCCTGATATTCCATTAGTAGGGAGAATTTCTCCTGCACAGGTTACACATTTCTAAGCTACACTCTTTCTACTGCCAAAGTCACTGCAAACCCCATTTTCCCCCTGGTTGAATTCCAAAGTTTGGAATAGGAGCAGGCGAGAATCCCTGATTCTGACTGCAAGTTCAACCCAGTCACCTTCTGCAACCAGCTGTACCAGAAGTGAATCTATCATCTTTACCTTTGTTTCGTCCTGTGTGCCCTTCTACTTAGAACATAAACTGAAAAGAATGGAATTCTTACATGAATGTTTTCAATGTTTAAAACATGTAAGAAATTTTTAATGTTTATACTCATTAATATCTCAAAAGTTTGGGTAGTTTTTGCCTTATTTTATTATTTTTAATACATAGCATAACAATGTATTATGTATTAATTTTGTTATAATTTGTTTAAATATTTGTGTGCCTCTAGAGAACTTCAAGCTTAACAACGACAATAACTCCTTCTATTTTCTTTGTTTCTCCAGGATCAGCATTTTGTTCTGTCCCTGGTATATTGATGATCCTCAGAAAATATTGTAACATGTACATCAGACTTTTATTGAACATGTATCATCCTATTTCTCTGCAATACTATAAATATGCTTCCTGGTTTCAAAGAACTTTGCATTTTCTGTCCCATACTTAAGCCTTTCTCTCAAAGGGGCCTGAAGTAACATGCCCCATACATGAAACATCTACTAAGTGGGACCAAGGAGATGACTCAGTAGAATAAGCGCTTCTCTGGCAAGCTCAAGGGCCTGAGTTCAATCCTGGGTTCCACAAAAATTAAGAAGAAGAAGAAGAAGAAGAAGAAGAAGAAGAAGAAGAAGAAGAAGAAGAAGAAGAAGAAGAAGAAGAAGAAGAAGAAGAAGAG